TTGAGGCATTGTTTGCCCCTGTGAGATGGCTTTTGCAACCAATGTGAGCTTGAGAGTTAATGCAATTGATAAGGCCTTGGTGAGTGGGCCTTTAACTACACACAGGAGTACAATTAAGCCCATGCCGTTTCTGGACACCTTATTGTGTGCCTACCCGTTGCACTAGAATCTTGCCCAGGCATATAGCTTGCTTTCTGGGAAATGACTTGAGAAGAATTTTATAAACTAAGGGAAGTGATGGGAGTATGAGCAGAAACTGCTATGACAAAAAATAAAGTTACTGTGACCTTAAAGGTTAGCCTGTCCTTGCAACTCTTTAGAGCATAGAAAACGTAGTTGCTCTCTTAATTTTTTTTAAACTTTTTCCATTTTTTATTATATTTTTGACAATCTTTACATAGTTAATTAGGGTAGAAAGGTTCGAGGGCTACAGGGAAATGGGTAGGACTATTCTTTCCACATTGTTTCATTCATGTATCTGAGCTAAAAGGGGTTTTAAGGGAGAAGCCCCACCCAGTCTCCCACCCATCCCAGGTCCCTGATGTGGGGCACGCTCCGAGGGTCTTACTCAAGTGGTTTTGATAGTTCAGCAGTTATGAATCGCTGCCAAACTCGCTACTCCAAGCACGATGAGGTCGTTGAAGAATCCACCGGTTGACATAGTCCTTCATAGTCTCCATTTGCCCAGTTTTCCACTGCCAACATATAGCTGAGGTGTTCAATTGACTTATCCTGTCCTCCGCCTGTACATGGTTAGGGTTCTGAGTCTGGTAGTTCGATTGGGGGATCCCCAAAGAAACTTTGTCTGAGGTGTTCCCAGACCAGATTCTTGTGTGTACCTGGCAAGCACAGGGCTTGGCACAGTCCATCGCCCCAATCAGTTGGTGTTTGCAATTGCTGGGTTGATTCTGTTTCTAGCTCTGTCTTCCACTGGAACCAATGGGTGTTGCAGTCCAGCCTGGTGCTGCCCAGCACACACTTGGCCCTCACACAAACCAGTGGGAGCTGCAGCCTAGTTGGAGCGACCCACAATAACCTCCACCAGGCCCGCCCCCTACCCTGGTTGGCCAGTATGTGTAGCAGACTAGTCAAGTCTGTCCCACATCCTATTCGGCTCTCGTACATGTCAGTGGGTATTAAAGCCTAGTTCCATCTAACAAGCTCCACTACCCAGCCCACACAGATGCTGCTGGGTGTCTCTCTAACCACCCCAGCCCCTGTCCTAGTTTTCGTGCCCTCCTGTGGGAGTGGTAACCCAAGAGGGAGGAACCCACTATTTCCCTCCCAGGCCACTCCCACTCCCTGATTATGCATTCTCCAGGTGGTTCTGGAGTTTAACTTGACAGAATTAGCCCCCAGTGCCAGCTTCTGCCAGCTGATGCTGCAGCAAAGCCCAACGAACCCTCACCTACTCTAATTTTTGCTTACACCAGTAGGAATAATCAGCCCAGCCTGGCTTTTCCCTGATCTAGCTTACATGAGGTGCACAGGTGTTGTAGCCCTGCTTAGTCTGGTCTGCCCCCATCCCAGCTCAAGCTCTCCAGTGGGAGTAGCTGTTCAGCAAGGGAACCACCCCCCGCTATTTCCACCTGCCAGCTTCACCCTCTCCCTTCCTGGTTCTCATGTGTGCTGTTGGGTGCTGCAGTCATATCTGGTACAGGCAACCTCATCTTAGAATTCCTTATTGTGCACTGGTTTTTGTTGTGACCAAACCTGGCTCGACCCACACTCTGTTCAGGTACTCAGATTCACCAGTGGATGACGTGAACTGATTCAGCCTGGTCTGCCCCCAACCTATGCCAAACGTATGCCAGTGGGTAACTTTCCATGGCCTGTTCTGGGCTGTTTCCTATCATGCTTCTTGTGCTTGCCTGCTGGGTCTGTGTCCTGCCAAAGGAGATGCCCAGGCTCCTCCATCAGAACCTCTCCCACACCAGATTTTGTGCATACCAGGGGGTCCTACTCAGTTCACCTCCTGTCCTAGCAGGAACAGTGGCTTTTCCCGATTGGCCTTCAACCCAAGGTGGTTCTTGTTGTTGGATGTTTCAGCCCAGCCACGGCTTGTCCATACCCCCATACAGCTCATACATGGCTCAGTAGGGGTTGAGACCTAGCCTAGTCTGTCCCACATCTATTTTGGTCCTCTAGAACACCAGAAGGTGTTGGAGTCTGGTCCAGCTTGGTGCGTCCAGTCCCAGTCCACACTGTGCCAAGGGAGACTACAACCGTGTCCAGACCAAAATGCAGCCCCCACTCTGGCCCCCACCCACACTCTCCAGTGGGAACCCCAACCGAGCAAGGGTATATTCTGACAGCTCCCCAACTGAGCCTATTCCCAGCCCTAGATTACGTGCTTGCCAGTGGTTGCTCTGATCCAGTTGGCTTAATCCCTCACCTGTCTTGGCCTTTGCCTTTGATGATCTGGCCTAGTAGCCCTGGCTCATACAGACCAGTCCATGTAAGAACCTAGTTCGACATGACCTGTGCTCCATCCTGATTTCTGTTCTTCCTTATGATTTGAGGTTTGCCCTGCCCAGTCGGCCCAGCCCACATCCTGTTTTAGGATGCACATTCAAGTGTTGCTGCCTTGACCTGCTCAGACTGTTGTTGGTTCCTTCCTTTACCTGTAAGTGATGGCAGGCTCAGCCCATCACCACCCCAGCTCGGGAGCTAAGCAGCAGGACTTGTATCTCCACAGGGTTGGACCAACATTTCCCCCACAGAATCTACCCCTGGGTCTGGTTCTCTCGCGTGTTGGTATTGTCTTCACCCTGCCAAATGTGACCCGTCCCCTGTTCCACCACTCAGTCAGGTAATGGTACCTAGCCCTGCTAGACAGGCCCCAAACCATAGCTTTTATGTGGACTGGTATGTGGCAGTCAGTGATGCTCTATGCTAACAGCCCATCTCAGGATTGCTAATTGGGCTGGTGAATCAGTCTGGCCAAAATAGATCTTATGGTCACTTCCCTCACAACCATCAGGTCTCAGTCCCCACATTTGCCAGAAAGTTCCGTGACCTCCTTGCTGGGAATCACCCAGAATTCATCCCTCATCTACACTCACACTAGCCTTATCCATGAATGTCCCTAGGCAGCAATTACATATCCTAAAAACCCCAGAGTTCCCCGCTAGGTGGCCAGCAGGCAGAGCCTGGCACCACTTGGTGCGCTGGCCACCCAAACCTAGGACTCGGTCACCACGTGGTGGCAGTAACCATGGCCTGAGTCCCTAGTGTTGGGTCCTGCCTGGCTGGAGCACCTCCCACAGCCGCCACACTGCCGGAGGCTTCTTTTGCGCCAACCCCATGCCTGAATACTGCCCAAACTCTTCCTGCAGCAAGATGATAGTGGCAGGGCGGAGCCAGGGCCCTAATTCCGTTCCCAAGGTTCCCTCATGATATACTTACCCTGAGGGAAGAGATCGCTCTGGCCTGGGGAAAGCCTAGGACTCCATCACTGCGAGCATTCGGTCCAGTCTGGCTGGGGCACCCCCCACAGCCGCCACACTGCAGGGGGCTCCTTTTGCCCCAACCCCACAACTGAACCAGTCTTTCGTGTTTTTTTTGGAAAATCTGCTACACAGAGAGGAGGAGAGACAGAGAGGAAGATCTTCTGTCTGATGATTCTCTCCCAAGTGACCGCAATGGCTGGAGCTGAGCAAATCCGAAGCCAGGAGCCAGGAACTTAGAGCCTCCTCCGGTTTCCCATGCGGGTGCAGAATCCTAAGGCTTTGGGCCTTCCTCGACTGCTTTCCCAGGCCCTAAGCAGGGAGCTGGATGGGAAGCGGAGATGCTGGGATTAGAACCAGCACCCATATGGGATCCTGGGCATTCAAGGCAAGGGCTTTAGTTGCTCGGCTATCACGCCAGGCCCCCTCTGTCTCTCTTAATGTGTCCTCACTCTGTGTCACCATCTTGCCTCCTTACATTAGTACAGGTGCTTAGAATCAAAACAGTAAAAAATATATTTATATATTTTTAAAATCCGAATAGCCAAAGTGAACTTTTTTTTAAGATTTATTTATTTTTTTATTACAAAGTCAGATATACGTAGAGGAGGAGAGACAGAGAGGAAGATCTTCTGTCTGATGATTCACTCCCCAAGTGAGCGCAACAGCTGGTGCTATGCCAATCCAAAGCCAGGAGCCAGGAACTTCTTCCGGGTCTCTCACACGGGTGTAGGGTCCCAAAGCTTTGGGCCATCCTCGACTGCTTTCCCAGGCCACAAGCAGGGAGCTGGTTGGGAAGTGGAGCTGCCAGGATTAGAACCGGAGCCCATATGGCATCCCGGTGTGTTCAAGGCGAGGACTTTAGCAGCTAGGCCATGGTGCTGGGCCCCAAAGTGAACATTTTAAATGAAGCGTTGTCAAAATTGCTTCCGAGGATTATATTGATTTATATTCATATTGCCGGATTTGACTGTATATTAACTAATATTAATATAATTTGTTTTATATTTAACATTTATGTATTTGAAAGACTGGCAGAGAAAGGCACGATTTGGTCATCCATCCACTGGTTCACACAAATGGCAGCAGTGGCCAGCGATGGTATGTATGTGGTGGAGGCCACAGTGGGACCAGGACGCAAGCAGGAGGCTGCAGTTTCTTCCAGGTCTCTGATTTGGGTACAGGAACTTGTGGACCTAGGGCATCTTCCATTGTGATGGAGCGAGGTGCAAGTGGGGCAGCCATGTCACAAACTGATCTTTGTGGAGGATGTTGGCATTGTCGGCAGCAGCTTAACCTGGCATATTAACATGATGGCCCTAGTATTAATATTTTGAAATATTTGCTTGTAGATAGGCATGTTACCTCATTGTTTCAGTTTATATTTACTTTATTGCAACTGTCACCAGAATTTCTCCTAAAAGTAAATTATCGGGGCTGGCTTTGTAGTGTACGCTTTTCTATTTGGTGCCATTTCATTTTTTTTTTCAAGTAATTTTTTGTCTTCAAAAGTTACTGTGCTATGATAAGCTTTACATATCTTTTTTATAGGATAAAGAGAATTTATCATCTGTTGTTACTGACTTCAACGTAATAATGGAGCCCACAGAATTTTCAGAATTAAGTGAGTTTGTATCTAGGTAAGCAATTTTGCAACTTATATTTATGGGAATCTTTTCACACTACAATTTTAAGTTACCTTTTCTTGTAAGTAAATAAGTTAGCTGTGAAACCATGACACCGTTATTATGATATATTTTAGACATAGATTCTTTGTATCTATGGTTCATTCTGTATATATTGTGTGTTCGTTATATTCTTGGCATTAAAATTAAATTGTGAGAGGCTAGGCCAGTGGCATACCAAGCTAATCCTGTGCCCTGTCACACTGGCATCCAATATGGACATTGGTTTATATCCCGGCAAATTCATTTTTGAGCCACTTCTCCGCCTATGGCCTGGACTGTTTGCTCTCCTGCAGTGATGTGCTTGGTACACAGAGCCTGTAAGAACGCGTTCTGGACTACCTTGTTGGTGAGATAGCAGAAGACTGTTGGTAGCATCGGGCTTTTATAGACCAAGGTTCATATAGGATGAGACAGGAGGAACCCATCAGTTGTTTCCTCATCCTTGTTTGAAACTATCTTTTTATTTTGTATATCCGATCAAGTGTCCTCATTCCAATGATATCCAATCAGTTCTTGTCCTGTGTTCGTTGTCCTTCTTACACTTGACTAACACTGGAGGATGGCCCAAGTCGTTGGGTCCCTGCACCCACGTAGGAGAACTGGAAAGAAGCTCCCAGCTGCCAACTTCAGATCCGCTCAACTCCCGCCATTTTGACCATTTGAGGAGTAAGCCAGCAGATGGAAGACCTCCTGTCTTTGCTTCTTTCTCTGTAAATCTGCCTTTCATTTAAAAATATGTACACTTGGGCCCCACATGGTGGCCTAACGGCTAAAGTCCTTGCCTTGATTAAACACGCCAGGATCCCATGTGGACACCAGTTCTAACCCCAGCAGCTCCACTTCCCATCCAGCTCCCTGTTTGTGGTCTGGGAAAGCAGTCGAGGATGGCCCAAAGCCTTGGGACCCTGCACCCGTGTGGGACACCTGGAGGAAGTTCCTGGCTCCTAGCTTCACAGAAGATCTTCCTCTCTGTCTCTCCTCCTCTCTGTATATGTGACTTTGTGATAAAAATAAAATAAATCTTTAAAATATATACATATATATGTACACTTAAAAATTGTGAGCAAAACCACATTATGATCCTCCATCTAGGTTTAATTAAATTTTTTTTTCATTTTTTGTATATTTTTGTGGGTTTTTTTTTTTTTTTGCTTTTTTGTTTTTTTAATTAAATTTTTGTTTTATACTTAAAAATTTTTGTTGAGCACTTTTTTATTTTAAAGACAAAGTTACAGAGAGGGAGAACAGATAATTCTGTCTGCTGGTTAATTCCCCAAATGACCACAAGGGGCCAAGCTGGGCTACATAGAAGCTAGGAGCCTCAAACTACATCTGATTTCCCATGTGGATGACAGGGGCCTCTGCACTTGGGCCATCGTTGCTGCTTTCCCTGGCACATTAGCAGCGAGAAGGATTGGAAGTGAAAGAATCAGGACTTGAGCCAGTGATCATACTGATCATGCGGAATAGTAATGTTGCAGGCAGTGGTATAACAGGCTATGTCACAATGCTGGCTCTTTTATTTGAAAGACAGAGAGCATGTAAGCACATATTCCCAACACTGGTGACTCCCTAGATGCATGGCTCACCCACAGTCTCAGCTCTTTCTGTTGATTGTTATAGCCTAGCCAAGCACTGTGCAGCCTCAACCCAGTACAGCCTGCCCTCAGACCTGACACACACATGCAGTTGAGTGCTGCAGCCTTGGCTAGCCTGCCTCCAGCCCTAACTGTTGTGTTGTCAAGTGGGAGCTGCAAACTCAGCAGGGAGAGTTCTCCAAGTTTCCCTACCAGGCCCAGGATCTCCCACTTTCTAGCAGGTGCTATAGCCCTGCTTGGCATGGTTTGCCCATAGTCATGGCCCTTGCATGTGCTGCTACATGCTGTAGCTTGGCCCAGCCTAGCCTTCTCCCAGTCCTGGCCCCTCAAGGGTCAGGTGGCTCCCTCCTGTCAAGTGAGTGCTGAGGTCCAGCCTGACTGGGCCAGTCACCACACCCAGCTCTGCACCAACTGCCTATGCTACAGTCCCCCAGAGGCGAGCCCATAAGTCTCCTACAAAATCTGCCCCTAAATCTGGGTCTCTCATGTTCTGGTAGCTGCTGTGGCCCGGCCTGACAAGGCCCACCATCTGCTCCAATGCTTGTGGGTAGGTACTGAAGCCTAGACAATCCAGGCATGATCCGCAGCCCCAGCTTTTGCGTGTGCCAGTGGGTAGCTGATGATGCTGTTCAGCAGCCGAGGTGTTCCTCATGGGCAAGTGCCTTGATCTGATCCAGACATGCCCTGCAGTTTCCTCCCTCTAAACCACCCCACCTCAACTGCTTACTGTGAGTGCAGTGGCCCAGTCCATGGAACCCCCAGGAAGTCATTACTCCCATGTCAAATATTCCCTCAGCTGTTCTCACTCTGGTATGTCCCCAGACCTCCTTCCCCAAGCAATCTGCAGCCCCCTGGCCTGGGAGCCAGCGTGGCATGTCCTGGCCCTGCATTCCCCACCTTTCCCACATACCTTTTACAAAAGGAAAAGTAAAACAGACAACTTTTCTGGCATACTAGTATAGTATGTTTCTTCCAGCAGTGTTTCACTTGCCTAGATACAACGCAACCTAGGTATTTGCTACAGCTGGGGTAATTTTAAATAATTTTTGTTTATATCACTTCTCCTTTCTTTACCTCTTTTTAAAATACACTCACAAGTTTTCAAATTGTACTGTTTTCATTTGTTGGGTGCTAATATTAGTTTTTTTTTAAAATCCCTTACTTATAAACTTCTTAACTGTCCTCATGAGTATCAGTTTTTGGCATGACCTCAATCCTCAGTGGTACTTATTTCCTCTTGAGGAATTCTGTAGTTGTGGATTGTTGAGTGCTTTTGTTCCAGAAGAACCATTACATAGGTTCCCATTGTGGTTTTGTTGTTGTTGTTGGGGTATGTGTGTGTGTGTGTTTTAATGTCTTCTGTTCTTTAATCCTTTAAGTTCCTTCTGCTTTGCAGATATTGTCAGTTCAGCCACTAGAGTTAACTGAAATCCTGACTTCTTTTTAACCACTTGTGGCCCAAGTATAACACATCTTTCTGTTCATCCCTAGGGGTGAGAGGTGGAGTTTGCCAAGTGGACCTTCCAGTGTAGTATAGATCCACAGCTGTTGGGGTGTTCTCCATCAGTTCACATTACACAAGACTACGTTCTTGCATCTTCCACAAAAGCATTCAAACTTAATTCCCTGGTTTTCGTAGGGTCTGATCAGAGCTAAAATGACTTCCTCCAGTATTCTGTGTCCCGTTGTGTAACTTTTCTCTCAGTGTCTGGAATTACTCGTATCATATGCAAGATTCATTTTTCTTATCCAAGAACAGGATTTTATCTTTTTTATTGTGATTGTTCAATTTTATCCCCAGTTTGGCCATGCAGTACATTTTCAGTGAAAGACTGTGCATTGAATTTGTAGACCAATGGGCTTATTTTTTTGGTCATTTTAAAACTTATTACTGAGCTATCATACACAGATCCTGTGTATATGGCTTAGTGAATGCCCAGTCAGTGTTCAAGCAGCACCCTGCAGCTTAACACTGCGTATCCCCCCTGCTTATTTCTGAACTTGAATAAATGCAGTCCTGTGGTATATTCATTTACTTACTTATTTTTTTAATGGGTAAAGAGCATCTTTCAGCATTGTGTTTGTGAGATTCACCTGTCCAATCAGATGGAGTTACATTTCTCCATTCTTTCTGCTTTTGCTGTTCTGTGTGGATACATTATACATATAAGGTAATAGTTATTTTAAAGATCTAAAATATTTTATCTAAAACATTTTTCTCTATTTATGGATAGTTTCTCATTCTTGCCTACCTAGTCACTTTGAAAAACTGAAATGCAGGCTGGGCATTTAGCACAGTAATTAAGATACGACTTTGGATTCCCCTATCCTGTATTGCAGTACCTGGGTTCAAGTCTTAGTGCTCCATCTAATTCTACCCTTCTGCTGACATGCACCCTGAAAGGCAGTGATGGCCCAAGTGCCTGGGTCCTGGCCGTTCACGTGGAGACCAGATGGAATTCTGGGCTTCTGACTTACTCCCAAGTCCAACCCTAGATCTTTTGGGTGTTTGGGGAATGAATGGCAAATGAAAGATTTCCCTGTGTCCTTCTGTCTGCCTCTTTATCAAATAAATACAAATCAGTAATTAAATTTTTTTTACATGAAGCTTGTATTTTGATTATATGTTCAATGAATTTTAACACAGTCCTTTGAAAACACCACCACCACCACACTAAAGATACTATACTGTTCTTTCAACACACACGAAACCTTTATACTACCTGCCATATATCCTCCAGTGTTTGACCTATTCTGAACTCCTGGCAAAAACTGCTTTGTCACTTGAGTTTTGCCTTTAAAAAAAAATGACACATAAATGAAATCATGTAAAATAAAATGTTTTCAAAACAGCCTCTTAGCAGAATGCCTTTGAAATTTATTCATTTTCTAAGAAATAATTTTTATTCATTTGAAAGAATTGCAGAGGAATTTTCCATCTTCTGGGTCACTCCCCAAATTACAGTGGCTGACACTAGACCGGGCCAAAGACGGGAGCCTGGAACTCCATTTGTGTACAGGGGTCCATGGACCTGGGACTGCTGCTGCTTTCCAGGCTCATTACTAGGGAGCTGGATCAAAATTGGAGCAGTCAGGAATTTAACTGGTTGCAGGCGGCTTTTTAATGCACTGTATCACCGTGCCTGTCAAATTTGTTCATTTCTGTGCATCGGTAGGTCATTTCATGTCTGAGTAGTATTTCACTTTCTGGATGTAACATTTTATTAATCTCTTGAGTCATCAAATAGCATTTGGTGAATATAGCATACTATAGTTTTATATGTAATCAACTTAGAAATAAAAAGCATATTATTATATAATATAGCGTATCCTCTCTGTGTATCTGTATGTCTG